CTGAAGCTGGGAGCCAGAAACTCAATCCAGGTCTCCCACATGGGTGGAAGGAGCCCAAACACTTGAGTCATCACTGTGGTCTCCCCAGGTCTGCATTAGCACGAAGCTGGAGTCAGGAACTGGAGCTGGGACTTGAACCCAGGCACGCATTCCAACAGGAACCTTAACCACTAGGCCAAATGCCTGCCTGGTGTACTCCTGCTGTGACTAGTGGCTGTCTGTCCCAGAAACCACGCCTTGCAAAGCTCTGTGCTTCGGGTCCTCGAATGGACTGCAGACATCGGGGGCCCACGTGTTTCTGGTGGATGGCACGTGTGTTCACCCACCTAGGCGGACAGAGCAAATCTCTCCCCAGGACCTCAGCGAGCTCAGAGTCTACAATCTCCTAACGCAGGGAGCAGGGAGCTACAGGAGGTCGTGGAGTGCAGGAGTCTCTCAGGAGTTTCAGAGCTGCAGAAGAGGCAGTGAGTGTGCCTGGTGCATCCTGCACCCTGAGCAGCCAGCCCCGGCCCCGGGCACAGGGGGACAGGCTGGCTGCACTGTGAGATTCCAAAAAGCAGCAGCAGCAGGTCCACTTAGGGGATGGGGAATAAAAACAACTAGAGGGCTTTCCGAAGCTGAGTGTGATGCAAGACACTCAGGGAGGGGCGGCTGCCGCTGGGCAGATGGCAGGATGGTAGGTGAAGAACGGAAGCTGAGCTCCTGAGCCGATCGCACGTCTGCCACCTGCTCAGGAGGCAGGAACCTGGAAGGCAGGCGCCCGCCCGTGCAGGGGAGGAGGCGGCGGCAAGCATTTGCCCGGGCTTCAGAGCGGGTACCCCGGGGCTCGGGGCAAGGCTGAGACACGTATAGGCACAGGCTTCCGATTCCGGAGACGGTGGCCTGGAATTTCCAGAGGGGCCAACTCCAGAACCGCCCCTCCCCGCAAACTCCTGCTTCCATTATGACTTTCATCTGTATTTGTTTTGAATGTTAACTGAGCCGTCAAAATTGGACGTCCTTATGGGGTTCTGTGCAAAGACTCCAGGCATATATACATTGAGTCATGTTCAAACCAGAGCAAACAAATCAATCCTCTCATTTTTGTAAATGGTGAAAACAGTCACAATCCCTTCTTCTAGCTTTAAAACAATTCTGTGTTTTCCTTGTGAGAAAGACAGAAAAGGCTCCCACCAGCTGGGTCGCTCTCCCAAATGCCCACAATGACCTTGATCTCCCAAGTGGAAGGCAGGGACTCAACCACTTGAGCCAGCCCCTACTGCCTCCCAGGGCGCACATCGGCAGGAAGCACACAGTATGTGGCCCTGCCACCAGTTGCTTTCACAGTTGATGCTGTGGAGCACGGGCCAGTGCCCATTCCTTTTCACGGCTGCATAGTATTCCATCGCTCAGATGCTCACCTGCCTAGGGACATTGGGCTGGGGGGGGGGGGGCGGGGTGGTCGTTTTCTGTTGCGGGACCTGCCGGGCTGTTTCCCATGGGTGCTGAGCTGACCTGCAGTCCCAGCTCCTCCCATCATTACACAGACAGCTACTTAGCAGGTATAAAACAGATCAGTGAGGCCTGCCCCACGTGGCCCCTGCTTCACCACAGCTTAGCAGGCTGGGAAGGCAGCTAGCTGGGCCAGGAGGAAGCGTCTTCCCTTGTCACCATGACATCGGAGCGGATGATGGAACTAGGGACTCAGCCGAGCTGGGTGTGGCACAGGGGCTGGGATTGTGGCCCACCAGGGCCCCGGGAGCCTCTACGTCCACTTGGGGGGGTGGATGCTGGCTGCCTTCCTTCTCCCCTCTGCCCTGGCCCCTCTCCTCTCCTTTCTGTCCCGCCACCCCCCCCCCAACCTTCACTCCTGTTTCTCCTCTCACCTCCTTATTCCACCCCTGTGCCCTCCTCTCCCCTCTCCTTCCACCTTCTCATTCCCGCATCCACACCCTCCTCCAAGGCTGCCATTCGCTTCCCCGTTCGGTCCCAGCCGCTGGAGCTGCGCGCGCGGGCTGCCGGATTCCCGGGCGAGCCCCTCTCTCAGCTTAGGGCCCTGGCCGCCGCCGCTCCCTCCTCCTCCTCCCTGAAGAGGACCTGGCACCCGGCAGAGGCCCGGGAGCTCCAGTCTGCGGCAGGAATCAGCCTGGAGCCCGGAGGGGGCTGAGGGGAGGAGGGGAGAGCCGCCTTCGTTCGGGAAGTCTTCACGGGCACAGCCATGTGCCGGGCCCTGCCACCCCTGCCAGCGATGCCCCAAGCTGGCAAAGTGAGGAGACGGCCCCCACACCTGTGTGCTTCACCGGGCAGCGGCATCACTTAGGAACTTCCTGCAAACCCAGACTCTCAGGACCTCCCTCAATGTATTGCCAGAAGCTTGGGGGCAGCGGGGGAGCAGTCCCGTTCCAAGCCCCCCTGGGAGCTCTGCTTTTCCTTTCGGTTTCACAGCCACGGCCCTGCCACCAGGGGGCGCCCTCGCTCAGCGAGGGAGGCGCGCAAGGTCTGACCTTCCCTATCTGACCGGGAGGTCGGCGGCTCTGGCTCTGAAAACGCCCCTGAGCAGGGGACACACGGGCTTCTCACCGCGAGCCCCTCCACGGGGTCCCTCCCTACGGAAAACACCAGCATGAGGTCCTGGGGAGGGGGCTGGCTATGGTTCAGAGCCCTGAGAACCCCCCTCCACTTTCCCCATTCTTCAGAGGCAGGGTTTGATGTGCTAATGAGGACATCAATTATTGAGCGCCATTAGCATTCATTACAATAACAAGTGGGGGAGGGGCCACAGGGACTGGAGGGTCTTTTGAAATGTCCTGCCACTCACTCATCCCCTGTGGAGTAGAATGGGGAATGGGAGAGGGAAGAATGTGAGGGGAGAGGTTTAGGGGCCCCAGGAGAGGAGGCTGTGGTCAGAGCCCAGATGCAGGCCCGGGGCCCCAGGGAAGCACGCCCCTCCTCCCGCTCCTCCTCTCCGTCCTCCCCCACCCAGCCCTGCTTCTACCCCAGACGCCAATCACTGCGCTGGCCCCTCCCAGGAGCAGGACCAGGTCCCCGGCTGCCCGTGGCTTGCCATGCATCCTTGGTGGAGTGCGGGGGCCCAGGGAGTGTCCTAGCAGACAGAGGCCCTGCTAGCAAGGGGCTTTCTTGAAGCCTTGGGAAGTGGGGGAGCTCCCAGACAGCAGAATGCACCATTTGGGGTGTCCCAGACAGAATTCCCACCTCATTCTTTACCCTGTGCCTCCCTTCACCCCGCCAACGCCCCAAGAGGCTCCCACACTCCTCTCTGGGCCCCCCCAAGCTCCAGCTCCCTCTTCCTGCCCAGGTGTTCGCCCAGGTGCAGCTCCTCTTCCGACTGCATCTTGGAGAGAGAGAGGCAGGGCTGAGAATTCTCACCTCCAGGGAGCTCTCCCGGAGCCACCCTCCTGCAGGCCCCAGGCCCTGGGCTGGAGAAGCACAAGGAGGAGGGTTAGGATCTGCCTGCCGCCCCCTCACGGGGGAGGAGGCCAGAGGGAAGATACCTGTTGAGGAATGAGAGTGGGGGCGGGCTGGCACCTGAGGCATCTCAGGTGGAGGCAGCTGGCACACTGGTTGTGCCCGGGCACCATGCCAGCTTGCAAGAGCAATTCTCGTTCTCGGCTGGAGCAGTCATACCTGTGCTGCTCGGAGCAGGAGAGGGCAGCCCGGCCTCCCCCAGCCCAGGAGGCCTCCTCTGAGGATCTGAGGGGAAGGGAAGAGGCACCTACCTCCCTGGGCAGGGGCAGAGCAGAGGGGCAGGCAGCACCAGGAGGGGCTGACGGTGCCAGGACAGCTGCCCCCTGGACCACTAGGGGGCCTGTTCCTGTCCCTTCTCACCTCCTGTCCGTGGGACTCATGGGAGCAGCTGGGGGGGGGGGGGGGACAGGATGAGGTATCTTTGGAGAGTTGAAGATAAGAGAGAGTCCAGAATGTTCAGGACTTGTCATTAAAAAGTGAGCAAGACAAATGAAAACAGTGCCCGAATCTGACTTAGGCTCCTCACCGTGGAAGGGGCTCACTGTGGACGGGGTGGTAAGAACAGTGGATGCTTTGTCCTGCTGAGCCCTTTGGAACTGTTGGGGGGGGGGTGCTTTCCTACCCAGCCCCCAGCAGCGGCTTCTTGGTCAGGCTTCTAATGTCCGGGCAGAAACCTGGTGACGGACCAGCATTGCTCCAGCTGTCCCCTAGCAGAGAATGCCCCGTTCCTTAGTGCCCACGTAACCACACGCCTTAACTCTCAGCCACATCCCTGGTCCCAGCTCCCCGGGACCTTGTGTGCCAGGGACTGGTCCCTGCCTGTGGCAGCCCCTGGGGTGATGGGAGGTGACAAAAGAGAGGCTGGGAGCTTTGGCATCAGGCAGGCCTGGGTTTGAATTTCACCCTTGCTGCTCTTGGAGTGGGCTATACTTTTCTGAGCTTCACCTGTTTTATGGCTAAAAGGAGCTGAAAATGCCTACCAGTGTAGGGTTGTTGAATGGATTAAATGAGGGATTATGGGTAAAGCACCTGCTGACTCCCTGCCACTCCCAAGCGGGCACAAAGTGAGAGAGGCAAGAGGAAACCAAGCTGGAGGAAGGCAGCTGAGTGCGGAGCTCAATAGAGGAGCAGGTGTACCCGAGCCTGGGCTCCAGGAGGCTTGAGAGCTGGTGTTGGCTGGCTGAGGGGAAGCTGCCCCTGCTGGCTCTGACCCCTCCCCTACACAGGGCCTGCTGCCGTCCATGCCCATCCTGGGCAGACAGCCAGGCAGGGAGCTGGACAGCTGCCCACTGTGTGCTCAGAGGCCAAAAGACGGGCACCATCCAGTTGGCAGAGAGGCAGCTGGCCCAGGAGAGGACAAGTCAGGGTGCTGACTGCTGGGGTCGTGTGCCCAGACAGTGTGTCCGGGGCACAGCTCTTGGCTGCCCTCCTGAGCTGTCCACTGGAGCCGGGCAGGGTCCCCTCCTCCTCCAGCCCTGGTCCTGCCACCCGAGTTACTGCAGCTGGACGTTGATCTCAAAAGGGCATTTGGGACCTTGCCCCTGAGCTGGGCATGTGGCTAGCTCAGGGGCAGGCCTGGGGCAGGCAGGAAGGTGGAAGAGCCCAGATTAAGGCTGCAAGCAGGTAGATCAGGAAGTGGAGAAACCGGTTTGTGTTTCAGACTGCTGGGGTGGGGTCTCCTCTGCTGGGCTCCCTGCTTGCCAGCCTACCGCGAAGAGATGTTCCGTGCCCCTCCTTGCTCACCGGCACTGACTTGGGGAACGCCAGCGGTAAATGAAAGGGGCAGCCGGCTCAGCCCACCTTTTACTTCCCCCGGAGAGGCTTGGAAAAGAAGGGACCGGCCTGCGAGCCGGAGGGAGGGAAGGAGGCGGCGTCCGGAGCCTGAGGAGGGGTCAGCACGGCTCTGGGCTGGAGCCAACAGGTAAGCCAACCAAGGTGGGCAGAAGAGGTGCGGGCCAGGGATGCTGAGGAGTCAGCAATGGCGCCGCCCAGCGAGGCGTGAGACGGGGCGGTGGCTGGAGCGTCCTACTTTGGGGTCCCTGTTGACAGATGAACGCCGAGTCGCCTCGCTCGCGGCACGCGCCCTTGCAGTTCCCGCAGACACCTGCAGGAGGGGGCCGAGACGCCGTCCAGCAGGGGGCGCCGGGGAACCGGGTGCAGGCTGAGCCTGATCTGAGAGGGGGAAGGCGACCCGGCTCGGGGGGCGCGCGGACTGAGGCAGAAGAGGGCCCAGATTCTCCCCGCACAAGGAGGCTGAGCTTTCCGAGGTCACCTTGGCTGAAGAGGGGCCCTCAGCCTCCCCGCCCCGCCCCCGCCGCGAGGGCTTCTTCATCCCGCCTGGGCATGGAGACCCAGGAGTCCCCACCCTCGAGCTGCCCCCCTCTGCCCCGTGCCTCCTCCGATGCCGGAACCCCCCGTCAATGTATTTGTCTTCAGGGTGGCGCGAGGACGGCTTGGGGTGGGGGGAAGCAGGTGGAGTAGGTAGGGGAGCGTGAGCGCGCCCCGCAGCCCCGCCCGGCCGCGCGCCGCGAGATCCCGCGCTGCTGCCGGAGGGCGCGAGGAGGCGCAGCGCCCCCTCCCCTCCCCGCTCCCCGCCACCCCAGGCGGCCCTTTGTACCACCCGGCCACACGCGCGTGCCCGCGCCGCGCGCGCCCCCGCCCGCAGTGACACACCCGCGCCGGCCCGCGCGCGCTCGCACACACTCACACACAGACTCACTCACTCGCTCTCGCACACTCGGTGACACGCCCGCGCGCGCGCGCACCCACACGCCCGGCCGCCGGCGCCCTCCCAGCTGGTCCACCCCGGCGGGGCCCGCGCCCCCGGCCCGCCCGCCTGGCACCGCGTCCCGGGGCTGGGGCCGAGAGAGGAGCCCGCGAGGCGGCGAGAGGGCGAGCGCCAGGCAGGCCGGCCCGGGGCCCCCGCCCCCCGCGCCCCCGCCCGATGGGGAACGCTCCGTCCCAAGGCATGTCCCTGTCTCTCTCCTCCCTAATGTGCCTCCATGCTTAAGTGGAAGGTATTTCTGTTTTCTTTGTGTGTTTTCCCCTCGGCCGGGGGCGGGGGCGGCGGCCGGGCCTGGGAGGCGGCGGCCGGCGGGGCTAGGGATGCTCGGGGCGCAGGTGCGTGGGGACAGGGGGCCTCGGAGCACCCCGGCGGGAGGCAGCGCTGGGACCAGGAAGGGGGCTGGGATGGGCGAGGCTGGGGCCTGGGCGGGGAGGGCCTCGCGGTGCCCGGGGGAGGGGGCCTGAGGGGTTAAAATGTGAAGGGCTTGGAGTGGAGGGGGAGGGGTGGGAGAAGAAGAAGGGGGGCGGGCGGTGAGAGCGCAGGGGGAGGGGAGTGGTCCATCCGAGCTGGAGGAAGAGGGGGATGCAGGGCAGGGGATGGGAAGTGAGAGGAGCCCCGGAGGCCTCTCCGTCTCCAGCTCCCGGAGTCGGGTGCAAGCGAGGCACCGGGGTGGCTGGTGGGGGCCTCTCTCCAGCCCCCCAGGGAAGGAGGGCAGGCGTGCGTTCTGGGGCCGGCGGCGTTGCCGGGAGACAAGCCTGTGTTCCACACCCCACCCCCTGCACGCGAGGCCCTGGCCCTGGAGACCTCGGAGCCTCGGCAGCAGTTGTAGAAACTGGGGACCTGAGCCCCGCTCGCCTGGCGGCCGGGAGGGCCCCGGGAGGGAGGGGCCGAGGGAGGGACTATTTGATCTTAAGCCCTCCCCCTGCGGAGGCCAGAGGGCAAGGGAGGGCGCCCCCGGCTGGGGAGGGAGTCTGGGGTGAGTGAGGGGGTCCGGGCTGCAGGAGGCTGAGGGGCAGAGGGCGGGGCTGGGGAGGGGACGCGCCCCCCCCCCCCCGCTCCCACGCACCCCCCTGCTACGTCAGAAGCTCCCGGGCCAGCTCCGAGTCCTGTCGGCGGGGGCAGCAGGATGCTGGTGGAAGCAGAGGGGGCCGGCCGGGTGCCTCCGCAGCTCGGCTGGCTGGGCCCGGCGGGGCGTGAGCGGCTGCTGGCGAGCGCCCCCCGCCCCACGCCTCCCCATGCAGCCCTGGCAGTGCCTCCGGCGCTTTGCCCTGGCCTGGTGGGAGAGGACCGCCGAGGGCAGAGGCCGCTCTCCCCGGGAGGAGGCTGGACCGAGGGACGCTGGGGGCCGCGGGGAGCCAGGTGAGCAGGAAGAGGGGTGTTACATGAAGGGGGTCCAGGATCGTGCTGCCCAGCCCCTCTCCTCAAATACTGCGGCCCCAACTCTAACGGATGGCGCTCCCCTCACTCCGGGGTTTCTGGCTGAAGCCACTGTGTGTGGCGGAAAGGGAAGCAGAGAGAGGATGGGGGGAGGCTGGCCTGAGTTCCGGGTTGGGGGGTCTCAGTGGCCCTTTGGGTGGGCTTTGAGCACTTTTGGGGAGAGCTTAGGATACCTTCTTCCGGACTCTGAGTGGCTTGGTCTGGGTGACCTTGAGCCAACTGCTTGGCTGTCAAAGTCCGTGCCTCAGTGTCTCTCCTTCCGTCCCTTTCTCCGTGACTGATCTTAGAGAGCTGATGATGCGTGTGGTGGACTGTCACTGGGAGCGCGCAGGGCTCTGCCATCCCTGGTGGCGGCCGTGACGGCGCGGTCTCCGGCTAGCTGTGTGTGCGTCTCTGGGGGGGGGGGCAATCGTGGTGCGAGTGTGCTGAGGGGTTTCGCTGCTTCTGGTTGGTCCTGGGGCCACTCGTTCACACGGGAAGGAGTCGTCCAGGGAACTGAGTTGTTGGGGCAGAGACGTAGCTGGTGTCCTGGTGTAGAGGCAAGGGATGGGAGTGAGGGCTCTGGGCACAATGGGACGGGGCTCCAAGGATAAGATCCCCCCACCCCACCCCCCACGCTGCTCCCCACCCAGACTGCCTGGCACCCAGGCACCGTTGGCAGCAAGCGCAAAGGCATTGCCCTGGCTCCCTGCCACCCTGCCATGGGGACAAGAGGGGCTTTGTCCAGTGCCCCTCCTCACTCCTTCCGCCCTTTCCACGATGGCTGGTTCTCTGCGATGACCCTCAGGGCTGGGATGGAGACTTGGTGGGTTCCCTTCTGGCTAGCACCGTCTGTGCTCTGGACATCTCTCTGGGAAAGGCACTGTGGTCCTCAGTGCTGGCAGGACAAGGCCACTCCACTGGGGCAGAAGCCCCTAGATTGAGCCCCCGCCCAGCTATTTGCCTCCTGGCCTAGCACAGGGGGCCTGGGGTCTTCACGGCCTGATTCAGGCTGGGCTCCAGGCTTCTTGATGTACAGAGTCCCATGTCGGCCACTGGGCTCGGGCCGCCTGATACGCTCCCAGTCTGGCCGGGGACCCACCCTGGAGAAAGGGTTTAATTAGAACCATTGATTCCTTCTTTGGCTGCGGGCATTGATTTCAACAGTGTGGTCGGAGCTGGGGGGCAGGGGTGGTCCGGCTGCCGTCTGCCCCAGTGCCAACCTTGGTGCTGTCTGCTTTGGAGGCAGGGACCCGGCTCTTTGATGCACCTGCTGTTTAACCCTGCACCCCCACCGCAGCTTAGGTCTTGGGAAAAGAAGGGGAACAGAGCTGAGGATTTGAACCAAGGGAGCTGCACTTGGGGTTGGAGGAAGAACAGCTCACGGTGTCTCCCGTCCTGAGTAGAGGGCCTGCGGCCCCTGAAGAGGCAGCTGTGGTGGGGGAGGTCCTGCCAGGAGGCTGTTCAGAAGCAAGTGAGGGGACCTGTAGGTGCGGGGCAGGAAGGGAGCTCGGGGAGGGATCCAGGGCTTGCCATAAAAGCTTCTCTTTCGAGGAATCTCAGGCACTTGTCTTCTCCCGGCCTGGCAAGGAGATCTGTCTTCTTCCTCGTTTGTGTCCTCAAGGCCCAGAGAGGGACAGAGACTGCCCTGGAGGCCCAGTGGGCCCCTGGACCTGGCTCCCTGACCCTGTGGCCCCTGTCTGGGCGCGAGGTGCTGCTGAGGATGGAGCTCTGGCTGCCCAGGCTCTGGGGGGTAGGACTGGGCGGGGGGGACGGGCTGTGCCCCCCGAGCCCTGGCTGCCTGCTGTGGGTGGGCCTGTGCAGGTGCAGGCTTCGATGAGGCACTCAGACGCTCTTTGAAGAATCACTCGTTGCCTTCCCAGGGCCCATTCGAGCAAAGATAATAAAAATCTGGCCGTCAGCGGGTTTGAGGGCTGCACTTGCTTCCCCTTCTTTCATTCCAGCCTCTGAAAAGCAGAGATGCAGGCTTTGGATTTGGCTGGGAAGCAGCGCTTGCCTGCCCCCGGGGAGGGAGGGAGGGAGGGAGGGAGGGAGGGAGGCAGAGAAAGGGGAGGACCGATTTCCTGGCAGCCAGGGGAGCTGCTGGGGAGGTGGGCATGGCAGCAGGGCCACAGTCTCGACCCCTGCCAGACAGCCTAGACCCTGGGCTCAGGGCTCCGGTTCCCAGCACCTGGGCTCCAGTGAGGCCGGCCCTGCCCTGCCACTGCGCCCACCGCCCCCCTCTCTCCTCTCTGCCATTCAGCGTCCTCCACCCACCTTCTTCACCCTGGTCTCTCCTTTCGCTGCCCCTCTATTTCTCCGCTCTGCCCTTCCTCCCCCCCTCTCCGCCTCCCCCCCACCTCCCCTCTCTCCCTCTGACCCCCCCCCCATCTGTCTGTCCGCCTTCCTTTCGCCAGCATTGGTCCTGCTTTCTAGAATTCTCCGGAAGGTTGAGAAGCCGAGTGGGTGGGGGGTCGAGAGGCAGCCGAAGCCACAGCCTTGGAAGGCCAGGCCTGGGCTAACTATTGTGGTCTGTCAGGTGCTACAGTGATCCGAGTCAAGGCAGACAGGGCTGGCTGAGCACTTAGCGGGGTGTGTGTGTAGTGAGGGTGCGTCCCTGTCCCCACAACCCAGCCGGCACCTTGCCTTCCCTTTGGACTCTTCCTCCCCTTCCCCGTCACCCTCCCCCCAGACACCCCTGTTACCCTGCTGGCTCCCTG